TTTGTGGAGCCACCTGAAAACCGAAAAAAAAGCATTTTTTAAAACTGTGGGAGTTTTTTACTTGAAAACAGTGGGGTTTAGGTATACACATTCCAATTGTTTTTTTGTCTTAAATGTACCAAAGAATCTAAGAATATTTTTTTCAGGTCGACAAAACATTTTTGACGAAATTGTTGACAAAAAAATTGTTTTAACAATACCTGACCACATTCTTGGATGGCAAGAAGAACTTTTAGGTACATTTCTAAATTTTGAACAAGAAAGCACAAAAAAACTGGGTGCGAATAATTTTTCTTGGTTCATCACTGTTGGAACCAATGGAACCCGGTCCATAAGTCTATGTATGAACGAGCAGTCTATTTCTTATATGTCTATGGACATGAGAATATGAGATTCCTCCGGGCCAGTGATTAATTGATTAGGGTTGTGTTTGTTGGTCTTGAATATGGCAGAGCTAGGCTATACTCATATATAGACCAGTCGAAAATCTGTTCAACCTAAAAGTTGATATCCAAAGGGTCATTTTGGATATTATATGCAATTAACTCGTAGATTACGGGAAAAATAGTAAAAAACGTAGATTCTTAGTCAAACTATGTAAAATAGCGGCTAAAAGTTTATTTTGAAAATTTCGCGTAAATGGTAAGAGATAGGATGTAAATAAAAATATCAGCGTGTAGAGCGGAAAATTCTCTATCGATTTTGTCTTTCATTTTTTTTTTTGACCAGCGCAAAATTTCGAGGTAAAAAATTCTGAAAGTATTTTGGCACGTACCTATGAGAGTGAGTGAGACAGAGTGAGCGATCACACTAGCAGACGATTGCAGGCACGAGGAGAGAGGAGAGAGCCGGTGCTATATATATGTAGCTCTAGTAGCTGCGACGCACTCGATCGCCTTCCAGCTGAAATATCCACTTCAGCTTTTGGCCCGAAAATTTTTCTAAGTCCTAATAACATTAATACGGGGAAAAAAAATTTGTTCTCCAGACATGATGTTTTTTATACATTATCTACGATTTCCTAGCGAATAAACATAGTCTCCAGTAACATTTTTTTCCAAATTAAAATCTTATTTTTCTTATTTTATTGGTTTTAAAATTTTATTTCGTTGTAGAAAATATGTTATGTATTGCATAGCTGTGCGGAGGGGCAAGAGAGGGGCGAACAGTTGAACACACGATGGATCGGCTTTTTATATTTGAATTGCGACACAATTTCAAAGTCCCCAAAAAAAACTGATAATGGTTAAATAAAAAAGTCTCTGAGAAATGATTTTTGAATGACATTTTCCAATGAAAAGAAATAGAGAACAACTTATTGTGAAGCATACGATCAAAAATAAATATTAAATTGATAGTAAACAAAATTTATTTATTCGCAAAAATCATAAATGCTACTATCTGGAGTATACATATTGAGGGAGGACTGAGTATGGTACCCCACATGACCTTCTTCCGTCGTTTCCTCTTGCATGTCGACAACGTCATTAATCACATCATCGAAAGAGTCTTCATCAATTACTGGTCTCGTGGTGGAACCATTTTCACAATTGTCTCCGTTGCAATTTTTACACATACGTGTACACATCAAACCTGCTTTTTTGCACGTGCATTGTTTTGTTTGACAATTTTTACGACAGGAGCAGAAAATCTGTGAGGAAGAAAATTTAATATTTAACTAACTAACGTGACCAAGAATTTGCCTTTATTTTGACTAAACACTAATGATATATCATTGCATACCTGTCGCAAAACGTCATTAGGAGCTGGCGTTTGTGTGATTATTATCGGAAATAAAATGGTCTTTGTCTTTCTCCACCCCCAATGTGTGGGCTCAATTGTATTTCCTAGCCACGCCTGGACTTGTAGGTATACACGTTTAGCGTGTTCTTTTAGAGCATCTCTTGTTGGAGGAAGCACCGCTAACGATAATTGTTTTTTAGAGGCGGTGGTCGATTTGCAAAACAGCCTGTATCGTAATTCAGAAACATTACAATCATATTCGTATTGCGTCTCATACAGGTAACAAATTACTTTCTCTGCCTCTCTTAGTAGTAATTGTACAAATTTTTCCCTGACTACGTCTTCACATAACTGAAAGTCTGTTTCCATTTGTTCCTCAACGAAATCTTCAAACTTTTTACAAAAAATAGCGGTGCTTTCAATTAACGTTTTATTTTTTTCAAAAATAGAGATAATTTTTTTTTTCCCCTAATTAAAAATAGCACTTGTGGTATCGGAACCGCTGAATGCATGAGCAAACAATACGAAAGGCTTCAAATGATTATTGTCAGCTACGGAATAGAATACTCGACTTTTCGTGCCTGGGACAACTTTATAAAAGTGTGCGTTGGCATTTGGAGGTATCAAGGCGATCAGAAGAACAAGTAAGTCGATATCATTTCCGACGACTGCCACAGGTTTTTTTCCTAAGATCGCCAAGTCTTGTGCCGTTTGTACAACTAGTACGTCGGCGTCCTCAACCGCAACCTTCGTCTCGACGTTGTTATCATTCAAAAACTTAGTTAAATGAGCAACAAAATTATACTTGTTCATGGTGTTTGCCAGAAATTTCTGTTGACTCATCACAACAAGAGCGGACTCGTTGATCTCTATAGCCGCAGAAATTTTTTCTTTGCGTCGATATCTAAAAAACAATAAAAATAAATAAATATAAAAAATATTTTATACTACGTCGTACGAAAATACGTATAATACAACCTTTCATAAGACTTTGTGCCAATATTTTCCAGACAATATCCATCAAAAACAACCACGCAGTCACTGTCGAGACGACCAACGTCGAGACGAAGGTTGCGGTTGAGGACGCCGACGTACTAGTTGTACAAACGGCACAAGACTTGGCGATCTTAGGAAAAAAACCTGTGGCAGTCGTCGGAAATGATATCGACTTACTTGTTCTTCTGATCGCCTTGATACCTCCAAATGCCAACGCACACTTTTATAAAGTTGTCCCAGGCACGAAAAGTCGAGTATTCTATTCCGTAGCTGACAATAATCATTTGAAGCCTTTCGTATTGTTTGCTCATGCATTCAGCGGTTCCGATACCACAAGTGCTATTTTTAATTAGGGGAAAAAAAAAATTATCTCTATTTTTGAAAAAAATAAAACGTTAATTGAAAGCACCGCTATTTTTTGTAAAAAGTTTGAAGATTTCGTTGAGGAACAAATGGAAACAGACTTTCAGTTATGTGAAGACGTAGTCAGGGAAAAATTTGTACAATTACTACTAAGAGAGGCAGAGAAAGTAATTTGTTACCTGTATGAGACGCAATACGAATATGATTGTAATGTTTCTGAATTACGATACAGGCTGTTTTGCAAATCGACCACCGCCTCTAAAAAACAATTATCGTTAGCGGTGCTTCCTCCAACAAGAGATGCTCTAAAAGAACACGCTAAACGTGTATACCTACAAGTCCAGGCGTGGCTAGGAAATACAATGGAGCCCACACATTGGGGGTGGAGAAAGACAAAGACCATTTTATTTCCGATAATAATCACACAAACGCCAGCTCCTAATGACGTTTTGCGACAGGTATGCAATGATATATCATTAGTGTTTAGTCAAAATAAAGGCAAATTCTTGGTCACGTTAGTTAGTTAAATATTAAATTTTCTTCCTCACAGATTTTCTGCTCCTGTCGTAAAAATTGTCAAACAAAACAATGCACGTGCAAAAAAGCAGGTTTGATGTGTACACGTATGTGTAAAAATTGCAACGGAGACAATTGTGAAAATGGTTCCACCACGAGACCAGTAATTGATGAAGACTCTTTCGATGATGTGATTAATGACGTTGTCGACATGCAAGAGGAAACGACGGAAGAAGGTCATGTGGAGTACGATACTCAGTCTTCCCTCAATATGTATACTCCAGATAGTAGCATTTATGATTTTTGCGAATAAATAAATTTTGTTTACTATCAACTTAATATTTATTTTTGATCGTATGCTTCACAATAAGTTGTTCTCTATTTCTTTTCATTGGAAAATGTACAGACGTTACCATAAACAAATTAATGCAATTCGGTCGAAAAAAAAAAAATTCAAGACTATGTCATTCAAAAATCATTTCTCAGAGACTTTTTTATTTAACCATTATCAGTTTTTTTTGGGGACTTTGAAATTGTGTCGCAATTCAAATATAAAAAGCCGATCCATCGTGTGTTTAACTGTTCGCCCCTCTCTTGCCCCTCTGCACAGCTATGCAATACATAACATATTTTCTACAACGAAATAAAATTTTAAAACCAATAAAATAAGAAAAATAAGATTTTAATTTGGAAAAAAATGTTACTGGAGACTATGTTGATTCGCTAGGAAATCGTAGATAATGTATAAAAAACATCATGTCTGGAGAACAAATTTTTTTCCCCGTATTAATGTTATTGGGACTTAGAAAAATTTTCGGGCCAAAAGCTGAAGTGGATATTTCAGCTGGAAGGTGATCGAGTGCGTCGCAGCTACTAGAGCTACATATATATAGCACCGGCTCTCTCCTCTCTCCTCGTGCCTGCAATCGTCTGCTAGTGTGATCGCTCACTCTGTCTCACTCACTCTCATAGGTACGTGCCAAAATACTTTCAGAATTTTTTACCTCGAAATTTTGCGCTGGTCAAAAAAAAAAATGAAAGACAAAATCGATAGAGAATTTTCCGCTCTACACGCTGATATTTTTATTTACATCCTATCTCTTACCATTTACGCGAAATTTTCAAAATAAACTTTTAGCCGCTATTTTACATAGTTTGACTAAGAATCTACGTTTTTTACTATTTTTCCCGTAATCTACGAGTTAATTGCATATAATATCCAAAATGACCCTTTGGATATCAACTTTTAGGTTGAACAGATTTTCGACTGGTCTATATAGGAGAAGCTTGTACAATGTACATTTGTCACACTGTCCATCTTCCGTTCCACCATTCGGAGTGAGTCGTATAAGCGTTTCACAGCTTGAGCATGAAAGCAGTCCCTTAAGTTTTTGCGAAGTTTAGTTTTATTAGTTTCAATAAATAAGGTTCTGTTAATAAAAATATCTTTGCAAACATTATTCAGTTATATGTTGACATTTTTATTGTAAGTATAAGTAGTAGTAGGGATGGGTGAAAGTGAAACTACACAATTATCGTAATACTAATTCATGTTGTCTGTGACATTAAAATATAGTCCTGCATTCTTGTGAATTTAAATTTTAACCTTACTTTTGTTTGAAGTATGTAGAGACAGGTTTTATTTGCATTTCAAACATTTAGTCTGAACTACTGTCAAAATAAGTTATTATCGAAAGATTAATTGACCTTATTTAATTGAAGCGCTAAAGATTCTTTTACGTTAAACATGACATTAACCTAATAAGATGAACTAGTTACTGAAATTTTTTAATTGTATCACTCAACTAACGACTTTTTAAATTTTAAGCAATTATTGTAGGCCGTGAAATATTTGTGGTCTTTCTCGGATCCAATTAGTCCTCGCAACTTCTGATATACAATTATTGTTTACAAGTCTAAATGATTTAATTTTGAATAATAATCAAACCAGTAAGTAGTCATTTATTGAAATTCTATATTTCTCGTTCATGAGTAGTTGTTTTTTTAACATTGTTAGACTATAACATAAAAGTAAATCATGTGACATAATTTCTGTATCAATAAACAATTTTCCGCTAGGATTGGTTACTACTAATGCTTACCCTTTTGATAAGAGTAACATGTGACATTTTAAAAATTATTTAATGATTTTTTCGTGATGAACAGTAGATGTTGTTTCTATAACTAATAAATCTGCATTATGAGTTTTTATATGTGATGATTTATTTTTCAACCCTTAAAAACTCTGATTGAAGTACTGTTGTACTTAAGCGTCAGTTTATATTTAGTAACACAATTAACTTAGCTATCTAAGCAAAAAACATCACAGTCACAAACTAATAGTAAGTAATGAAAACTGATTACAAAAAGAAGCAAAATCCAGATTTAATTTGATAGCAAAATTTAGTAACTTTAGTTATCTGTGTGAGTGACATAATATAACTTTTTTTACATGTCTTAAGCTAAAATTATTTCATCCATTTATTTGATTGTGTGTTAAGAAAAGTGAAAAATTAAAAATATAAGTAACAATAATAAGGTCCAGATTCAAGACTATAATAATATTTATCTTTCTAATATTATGAAATGTTTCTTAGCGGAAATAGAACCGAAAAATATAGTTTTATTCTCTTGTTCTCGCAACAAAACATTTCTATGAACAATTAGTTATTCGACATGCGCTTAATTCAAGTGGTGGTACTGCTGAGTAAAAGAAATTGTTCTTTACTGAGATAACCAGAATGCACGAAGCTTACGGGATAACTTTTTAATCAATTCAATAAATGATGATTGAAAGTGAACTGACGAAATAAATCAGTGATTAAATAGTATTTTACACCGGTCTACAGAAATAAATTTCTTTTAGTGTTGCCATGTATTCGCTTCGTGCAGCAATTTGAAACAACGCCATCTGCAGGGGAAAAGTTGTCGATGGTCGATGTTAACTAACAAGAATACACACAATCCTATGGGCAAGGATCTTTTACAAGCGTTTATGTCAATAGTAATGTATATTTGATTGACGTAATTGTTTTAGGTGTTAAGTATACTATTAAGCCGGAAAAGACCTATTTAATAGTACCTTCATAAAAAAAATTTTTTTCTTTTATGGTTGTATTTTGAAACTAAGTATGGCCATTTTCCTCGAAAATAAATTTATTTTGTGAAGTACTTTTAAATTGGTCCATGAAAAGGTAATATTTATTACGCTCACTCATACATTATACCCATTTCATACTAGAAGTTTATTTTTTTTATGAAATTTAAAAAAATGCATTATTTGCAAGTAATATGCTACTTGGGACTGAAAAAACTTTTTTAGTTGTTAGGGAAGTTTGGTCGCTCCCGCGTGGAGGTGAAGGGGAGCACATGTATGTGCATAAGGGACCGTGATAAAATCTGCTGTACTAAGCTAGCCTAAAAACGTCCGTTCTCTCGATTACGGGAAATGCATTTGTATCGAACTTGCCAATACTCGATAATGTATTAATAATATACTTTAAAAAAAATTACAGAATGTTTTTCAAGGTACCTAGTTTCTTATAGTATAATCAAACAGCATGAATACTTTTTGTATGGAAGATGAAAAATAAGAAGAAAATCGTATAGTCAATCTGATCTTCTTTTGATAAAAGTGTGCTCTAAATTTTTGAAATTAGGGATTTTAATGGTACAGCATAAATGTAAAAAGTCTTATTAAGGCCTATACCAAGTTAGAGAAAATAATTTTGAGTAGAATGGCTTCTAGAAGTCATTTTGTGGAAAGCCATTATGCCACTTAAAAAGTCGAGCTAACAGCAGACAGTGTGCTTAGTGCCTCCTTGTCTGCCGCATGAAAGTAGTATGCGAGCTGGAAACAAATTTGTTTACGTTTGTGCAAATATCTCAATAACTGCAGACGCAATTTTGTTGAAACTTTGCACGTATACGAATGTAGTTGTCATAAATAACTTATCAGTTTTTCAAAACATTCTCATCGCTGTGTCAAGAGTAATAGTTCTTTACAAAATATTATTTTTTCAAAACATTTTCACTGTTAAGTGAACTCCCTTAAACATTTATTATTATTGAAATTAACACTTGTAATCCATCATTGTCTATCTCATGCTACGTATTCTTGTTAGTTAGCATCGAAATCCTTTTCCCTGCAGGTGGCGTTGTTTTTAATTACTGCCTAAAGCAGTGTTGCGTGAGGAGGATATGATTTTGCATTTTTGTCACTAAGACCTATATATAGCTACAGATCCTAGTGAGAAAAATGCAAAAGCTGAATAGTAGGAGGAAAGAAGCCAGTGGTTCTCCCCAAATATGACTGGCAAACTTGCGGAAAATTCAAATTGGCTATATGGCGTAAGACGCAAGTCCCCAAATAACTTGACACAATTTCATGCACAACAATTTATTAAGCTAATCTCAAGCTATTTAACCCAGTCACCCAACCGGTCAATAAGCAGCCTCATGAGTTTGAATGGATAATAAAATTTTATTGATTAACAACGCAAGCGCCAATCCCCACACAACCTGGGGCACTTACTGAACGCTTTAATTATTGGTAAAATAAAATAATAACTCAAACGCCTATCACCACACAACCCACAACCCGGGGCGCTTACTGAACGCTTAAATTATAATAATTATTAAAACAATAAATATAATAACGCATGCGTGGGAATGGGCGCTTACGTTATTATTGCATTAATCATAAATAATCAAAGCGACCAGTAAGTGCCCCAGGTTGTGAGGGGATAAGTTACTAGGATCTGTATATAGCTACAGATCCTAGTAAGAAAAATGCAAAACATATTCGCCTCACCATCACTGGCCTGAAGCGAACACTTCAAGATTAGAAAAAATAAAAGAATGCATTGTGACTGTGTGAAGAGAACTTATACAAGTGAATATCTGTGGTATCCGGGGTAAACCAATTAACTACCTTTTTGTGGAAATTTAGTTAGGACCAGAAAGCATGTCCATTTTTAGTGTACTTTCGTCAAAACAAACTTTTGAAATTATTCGATTTACCTACTTTCCGTAAGCAGTACAAGACCTAAGCGATTAACTGCTATTTTCTTGGCCCAACTGATTAAGTGACTTTTGTCCTGGCCCAATTGAATAAGAGATGTAAAAAAAAATCGTTGCTGCAAAAAAAAAAGTTGATAACTAAGGTCCAGAAATCATGGAAAAGTAGTGTATTTAGTCATTTTAACTGTAAGTACGTAGCTTTCAGTAATGATGATTCACTATTTTCGTGAAGTACGTAAACTACATTGAGAAAAGTATTGTGTCAGAAAAAGTGTTACAACTGTAATAAAAATTACTATGTTATGTAGGAAAGCTGAGACATTCGCCATACCACAAAAATTACTACGCTGCATAGTAAAACCAGATTACATATATATACATACTTTTTTTTACCAGGTTACCGCGATAGCCTACTGGCCTAGTCGCCGGGGCCATCCACTCACTACCTATGTGTGGGGGTTATTGCCGCACCCATAACCAATCTTTTTTTTCTGTATCATATCTAATCCATTGTCACAGTGTGAGTATTTATGGTGAAACACCTTGCCAGTTAAGCTGACACTCTCTGCACCAATGGTGCATCGGGTCCACTTGCCACTGTGTAGCCTTTCACTGGAGAGAACTCATATTTCAGGACGTCCACTCCTCGCTGGTAAGGCTGGCAATCCATGCCGGGCGCATCGGAGCCGCCAATCCCTACCTGCATCCCTAACACTGTTTCTCATTCACCCACGCCCGAAGACCTGTGGGGCAAGGATAAAACCCTGGAATTAATCTGAAGGGAAATTCCACGGAACAACCCGCCCCGAAGCAGCCGGGGTTACATAGGAACTTTTCTCAATCAAAACAGTTTTTGAAAAAATCTGTATTTACCGGAAATTGAACCCACGACCCCTAGAACAGCATTGTATCAGTAACATGCACGCTTGCCACTAAGCCAGTGCCGCTCAAAACTAAATTATATTAAAATTTGCTATTCAACCGAGTATTTAACATAGTAATTTCTACTACGTTCAGAAATAATTTTTATGTGTAAGTAAGAGAAGAAAAATATATTATATATATCATATGCACATATGCATAGGAAGTATAAATGTACTAACAGAAGCTTAAGATATATGGTTTATATGTACGTAGAAATTTTTATCTTGAAGGACGCAGAAACTGATATGTTTGAAAATTTTTCTATTTTTAAAAAGATCTGCAGCGAACGAGAATTGAACCTCGGTCCTTTGGCTTCCGAACCAGGCTCCGCAACTACTAGACCATAATACATTGTGTCTACTCAAGTATCGATAAAGTACATGTGGAAACGTGTACAGTTTATGATACACACAATAAATTTAAAAATCAAAGGGTTTCCTGCAGATCAAGGTGTTAACAACGGGTAATTAATCGATTCAAAACTAATTGTCTGCTTGTTTAAATTTTTAACCCTTATAAATCAAAAAATATGTTTCTCGTCATGATTTTATTAGTATAACCTTAAATTTCAAACTCAATAGGCTTGTGTATCTATATACATCGTAAAAAATAACTTTCGAACATAGCAATTTTTACTACACTGAATATCAATGCAGTTGAATGAGAAATTTTACTATGTCACAGAGAAAATTCCACTTTAGAATGGGGGACATTTTATAACGATTTCAATAAAATATTATGTTATATAGCTTTATTAGCTTGTCTTAGCTTTTTTGAATAATATAGTAATTTTTAGTATAGTTATAATATTTTTTTGATACCACCTTTCTCAGTGTACAGTACGTATATAAGGCTCGCGTCACACTTAGGCTACCCTAAGATAAAAGAAAGGAGTAGTAAGACGTCAAATTGTGACTGCAATGTATCAATGTAAGGGTAATGGGTTATTGGACTCCAATAGCGCAATAGCCACATATATATAAAATTTTTAATATAGGCGTGTA